TGGTAGCGGGTGGATCAGGACGATCGAGCGTATTCGACCGTTTCGTTCTCACCATGATAAATATATGTGTATTAACTAGACTGGACAAGGCAGTCGAAGATCTCGCGCTGATTTGAGAGGCCGTTTACCATTACTGTTACTGTCAATAAGACTAATGAGGCTTGGTATTCACTGAGGCGCACGGATATCATGCTCGGTGTGTGTTCAGGATTCGGATGCTCCGAAGGACCGACGATTGGGTCGGATATCATGTTCCACATTGATGAATTGGGCTCGATAGCCATTGACCGTTTAGAGGGGTCTAATATAGGTGTGGCTGATTTTTCGGTGTTCCATGTAAACCCTGAATTTAACGGTATGAGAAATGACCAATGCACACCTGTGCGGGTCTCACGTTTTTTAATTAAATGAAAATTGGAAAAATGAAAGTTGAAAAAGGTGATACTAATCAATATTCAAAGCACTTTAGTTCGCCAGTGAAGATATGGTAGGCCTTGGCCGACCTTGCCTCCAGTGTGTTGCCCCTGCATCACCATCTAATGCGTATCACAACAATGGGACTCGAATTCTCTTCTGAAGTGGTAATGCACCTTTTTTTTCCATTGTGGGGTTGAATGAAGCCTCCACTGCAACGTTAGACGTCAAAATTCACAGTGGAGTGATGATGCGGAAAGATGTGAAATTAATGGGAGGCCTAACAGCATGAGAGACGGCTGCAGCGCTTTTTTCCCATCCAATCTAGTTAAATATATCATAGTCGTCTCCACGAAGATTTCAAAACTGTTTTCGAAACTCGCCGAAGCAAGGGAAGCCCCCGTCGGACCATCGATGCTCGTCATTGGACGGGAGTAAGATCAAGATTCAAAATTTTATTCATAGTTGATCGAAATCACATCGTGAGATTCATTTTTCATCATGTTTGTTGATCAAACCGGTTGTTGATCGGTTTGAAAAAAAAAAAGGTTTGGATTCGGCGATCGTGGTCCAAAGATGTCATCTGAATATTCGATTTCAATCCTTCCCAGTGACTTACTTATTTTTATCAGATTTTCAGATTTGTGATTTGTCCTTCTGTTATGCTTCTGCAATGTAATTAACCGATTGAGCCCTGCAACTAGGAAGTGTATTTACTTGATAGGATTCAAGGCATACATGAAGATACACATCGCTTCATCCTATTAATACTGGAGATGCTTGAGCTGAGTGCTGGGTGGAGATAAAGGTGCTACTCGAGTTTCTCGTGCCGGTTCTTCCGGCGTCGCGGGGAGGGGCTCCCTGCCGAGCGAGACGCGATGGCACGGAACGAAACGAAAAAAATGAACACAGGCAGGTGATGAGGGAGGAGATCGTCTTCAGGGATAGAAGTGGATTTCTTGGAAGACGTTTTCCTTGGCGGTGCGGCCGATCTTGCGGCTGGCGTGGCATTCGTAGACGCCGCTGTCCCGGTGCGGGTCCAAGGACTGGATGGCGAGCACCGACTCGGTCCCGCGGTTCTCGGTCGCGTACCGCCGCGGTTCCCGCAGAAGGTGGCTCTCACCGACCCACTGAGGGCTCTCTCCGACCCATTGAGGGCTCTCTCCGTCCCGCCGCGCCTTCCAAACGATGTTCTGCGAAGGATAGGTAGAGGGCTTAGTCGGTCGCTGTTAATCAGGTGGTGTAGGATTCTCGCATAGGCGCCGAACTCGGGGGCAAAGGGTCGTATGCCCCTTCCTCCCCAAGAATGGCCAAAGTACACCAAAAGTATGGCACTTCTGAACTTATGAAACAAAATGCTGTTTTACAAAAGAAATGACAAAAAGGAATTTCCTATCCGTTTAGAGCCCAAACTGGGGTATACCCAGGACCGTGTGGGGTAAGGGGTGGAAGGGCGAGGACGCGGGGGCGCAAATTTCAAGGGAGCAATATGGACGGTGATAAGAATTCAACGGTGGGGTGAGGGTGCCTTGGGTGTTTAAACTCTATCTTGGTCGTCAAGCCATCTATACCAGGTCTTTGGAGATGTTCTACCATGTAGAACATCTCCAATGCAGTTTCTGCATTCTTACAACCAATCCTAGCAGTGGCGAATGCAATTGGGGTGGGGTGGGTGCATGGGGCACTAGTGCCCCCCCTTGTCCTTCAGTAACCGTTTAGGATCTGTGTTTAGGGGTGGGCGAATAAGTGACCGTAATCAAGGCACCAAACGCCGAAGTTTTCGTCGAGCCACTCCCTTGATCTTCTTCCTGCCCAGCAACCCCCCCCCCCCCCCTCCATCTCTCCCCCACTCCCCCACCCTTCTTCTCCCAATATTTTATAAGAGTCGGTGCGTATGGAGTCTCATGACCTGATTTTCTTACAATTAAGAAGTTTACTTTTGGGTCAGGTGGAAGTGGATGCGAGATGAAGAACGGATTACGTTAGGTATCTCATGTTCCACGATGCATGGAGAGTGCCAGATATGCAACCCGTTATTTGTAAGGATCATGCAGCGATCACATCATCATTTTTTCTTCATGAAGAAGAGATAAATCTAAATCCGCCGAGTCCTGAGTCCCCCGACTGCCCACAGCCGCAAAGAAACCGACCAGGTCCTGCTTCACGTCGAAAGAAAAGGAAAGCAGAAACTCTTCCGCCTCGTCCCACCCTGACGAGAGCAAAGAATGCGTCGACATCTAAAACGACCCCGCTGACGAGACCCGTCAAGGCCTCATTACACGCTCCGCACCCCACCGGAACAAAAAGGCGCGTGCTATAATGACGATCGCAAGCGAAGGCGTGCATCCGAGAGTTCCAGCCGAGGAAGCAAATGGTTCTCAAAGGGAAGCGAGAGGGAAATTGGGCGAATGCACTTCATGCCCATCGCCCTCTCTGTGTCTTCATGAGGAAGGGGGAGATACGGTGAGAACGTTGTACGCATGGCTCCGTTACTCTTCCTAATGCCTTCTTAATATTTTGCGTTAACACGTGTTTCCTATTATGTCGTGTCCTGGACTCCGACAATGAACGATATAATTATAGTTTGTTGCTTTACCCCCCCTCCCCCCTTTCCAACTCCCCTCAATTCAGGTTCAGGTTCTCTTCCCTTAATTTCCTTTTTTACCTAAGGAACAAAATCGGAATCATCTTCATGAATTTCCTGAACCGAAAACAACGTGACTTTTGAGGATTCCTCCTGAACTACCATCGAGTTTCTTCATGAAAGAACGTTACCAATTCCACAAAGAGTACGATATTACTGGCGATTAGAGTGAGACCCCAAGCGTCTATAGCAAAAACGATGTCTAAACGTGACAGATAAAAGCATTGAGGGAATGAAGAGCGGGGGGCAGAGGGCGGGGGTGGGGCGGGGAGAGGGAACTCTTGAGTCCCTCGTGGTTTTCATTTCTTTGTCCTCCACGTTCAGATCGGACATTGTTCCTATCCTGTGGGTTGAGTTAATTAATGCAGTTTCACCTCGAATTCCATCGTTAGCATGGTTATGGTGGGGTGAACCAAAGAATTCGCGCAGGAGATGCATGGTATCATAGAGCCATCTCGTTGCGGAATGGTAATGCTGCAAGCCTCGGAGATTAGACGTCTCCTCGTGGCTGAGCCATGCCTCTCCGTCCCATCCTTGGGCTTTGAAGAGGGGTGGCAGCTGAATGGCTCCGTGGGGTCACAGCGTCGATTTCCCTTTAAATCTTGTGTGTGACTTCATAGATGAAAAGGAGAGAAAAACGTTCTTTGTGCATCGTGTCCACCAACAATTCATCCAATCAGATACAGCCCTTTTACTATGGAAAACCCCATCTATGTTCATGCATGGGGTCCATCCTAACGAGTCCCGATTAGGAAGATCCTGGGTTCCGTCATGAAATTGAAAACACGCTAGTGTCACGCTTTCCAGTTTCTGGACTGCTCTGTGGATTCATCATTATTATGGCCGTTTCCTGCACTTCATTTTTCAAATCGCCGGGAGTACCTCGGCCTCCAGTTCATCCGTAACTTCAAGGAAAACGATAAATTAATGGGATAAATCCATCTCACGACACGATCCAGAACCCTCTTCCAAGCAAGCTAACTCTCACAACAGGAAAAGAAAAAGAGGAACTCACAGACACGATGACCGAATCGCTCGGGAAGCTGCACTTGAGGAAGGCCGTGGAGCCCCGAATGGCGTACTCTCCCTGTCCGACCATCCGCGAGGATGCGGAGGAAATCGGTCGCCGCCGTCCACCATAGGATCCTCTGGTCTCGTATAGGATGTGGTAAGGGACGACCGGGTATCCCATATACGTCCCTTCCATCGTCCCGTACCTGGAGACCCACCGTTCCATGACGTCTCCGAAGTAGACCTGCCGAGCGAGGTAATCGATCCAACTGATGTGATCGAAGAGCTCGCTGTAGTATTGGCGGCGACGCTCGTAGAATTCTCGCGACGATGACCCTCCTGATGTCGCGTCAGGCCAGGGCGATCCAGGGTCCGGTTTCCAATACGATTGAAACGGCTTGGGGAACCCGGTTTCGCCTGGGGGAAGGTACGTCTCCGGGTTTTTCGGGTAGGTGGGGTTAATAGCATGGTAGGTGTTGTCGGGTTTCGGGGGCTCCGTTCCCACTTTCCCGTAGACGTTGTCGTATTTCTGATATATGTCAACTATCGTGTAACCGTCGGTCTTCTGGTTTATGTCATTTCCCTGATAAACGTCGGGCTTCTGATAGGTGTCGCCTCCATTGTAATCGTCGGGCTTCTGGTCCACGTCGCGCCACGCTTTTCGAAAGACGTTACCGAATATCTGGTGTGCGCCTTCTCTCCTCTGCACGCGATCCACTTTCCGATCGATGCCGCCAGTTTGGAGGTAAACCCCGCCGGATCTCCAGGATTTCTTGAAAGAGCCGTCCACGAACAACGGAGCGCTGACGACCCGAAACTCATCGCCCGCGACAGACGCGACGAAGAGGACGAGAAACGTCCAGGTTGAACATTTCATCCCGAGCGCACCGTGTGAACACCCCCGATCCAGACGCAATCAGCCGACGAGAGATCACCGCATGAACGCCCCCGAGTCACAGCATCCCCGATGCTCGCAGGAGGACAGAAGCAGCCGCACTGCCGGGTCACTCCCCCCTGCCACGCGTAGTCCTCCCCCTCCGTGTTCGCTCTGGCGCGTCGCGGTGGCTTCGCCCTCCTTAGCGGGAAAATCATTCTAATTTTGGGCTTTATGCTAATTTCCCACTCTGGAATCTCTTCTCGGCTGGGTTTAACCCTTTTCCGCTTTTTGCACATGGATGTCGCTGCTGAAAAGAGTCACATCCTCTTTCATTGCAAACCCTTTTTTTTGTATTTGTCTTTCGAGCGATTCGCCAAAATTGAGCGATTTTCTTCGCTTAATGCTTTGCGAATGTGCAAAAAAAAATTAAGAGGAAGGCGTAATTTTGCACAGGGAATTTTGCACAGCACAAAGTGAACACCTGTTGGAAGTCGCATGATTCAAACCGGAGAAGGATTAAAGGTTAGTTCGACCGAATTCCGCAATATCGCTAAATTATAAATAATAATAATAAAAATCTGCGAGAGAAATTCCACGGTCTCGCAAAATTTTTTTTTCAGGATTTCCGTTTTTCTTTTATCATAAAAAAGTAAATTTGCCTGTTTCACCGGTTCCTCGACGCTTAAAGAAAAAAAGGGAAAATAAATAAGCACGACAAACTTGTCAAATAAAAATAATAAAAAATAATAAAAATGGCATTGCTTTGGATGAGAAGAGTTCCTCCCTCGGTCGGATCCGTTCTGTTGGGGCGGCCAAACATGCTTTCCAGGTCGGCCGTTCCGCGCTCGCGCTCACCGGAACGCGTTGCGGATTTCCTTTCACTTGGCGGATTTTCGTATCGATTTTTTTTTTTTTTTTGGCGTGCAAATTTGCGAAATTGCAATTTTTGGGGGTCAGCGCGGCAGTAAAACTGTGCTCAATTTTTTCCATTAAAATATATTTCAATAATTAAATTTAAATTTAAAAGCAAGAGTGTCGCAGATGACGTCACGTCTTCTCCGCCGAAATGAATCAGCGAAATTAATTTCTGACATGTCTGAGACAGCGGGAAACAAAGACTTTTCCACTCGGTTGAGTCCTTTAAATTTTTTATTCGTTTTTTTTTTTTTTTTTTTTTTTTTTTTTTGTTTTTTTTTTTTTTCCTTCTTTTT